CCCTTTATCCGGAGAGGCCAGAAACAGAACAGGCCAGATCTGGTGATGACACCTCCCCGCTCACCACGCCCTCACTTGTCTGGTTCTTCTCTCTTCTGCAGCCAGTTCCGGGGCCGCCCACCCAGCAGCCCGGCACCGAGGCACTGCACGGGCCTCTGACACATTTCTGGACTCACATCTGCCTTTGAAAGGAAGGGAAAGTTCTGATAAAGGAGAAACTCAAGTGTTAATGCCATCAAGGCCATTTCAGGGCCAGCCAAGCAAGGGGCAGTCTATAATTTGGAGCCTTTAATAATGAAATCTTCATTAATTGATTCCACTATCGCAGAATCTGTCCGTTTTGACGTTGGCTACAGTAAAGTTGCTTTTATACTGTCCATAAAAGAAAAGGTTTCTTAAACACATGAATATAGCCAAATTATGTTGACTTCTGGGGGCCTCTCCAGCCAAATAAAGAGTGTATGAGCTGCTCTGTGTGTTTTGTGGGCCTTTGCAGAAAGATGCTGCTGATTGCACGGGAATCTCTGCATCAAGGCACATTCTGCAGACTCTGCTCCAAAGCCTGTGCAGCAGTTCACATAAGGAAGTAATGGTAAGAAAAACTCTCCTTCCCTCAAGCCCAGGAGTGACTGTGAATTCCCTCCGCCCTCAGGCAAGAGTAGGAGAGAAGTGGAGGCAGGGAAACAGAAAGTCCCTACACACACAGGGTTCAGTTATGGGGGGGATTCCTGAATAGTAGGGAACCAAGCTCCATTCCTCACGGTGACCCAGGCAGGGAGAAGCCAATGGGACCATGGGTACACGGTCAGTGATGTCACCCAATTCTGTAGGACTAGGTGGGCTTGGACAATGGGAATATCCATGGTGATACTAGGGTCTGCAGACCACAGCACTCTCCCTGAACTTCTGTCTTGTCTGGGATTTACTGTTATTTGCAATTCAACCTAATCCCAACTAATTCCCTCCTTCCTGGGCTGAATATCAGACCCAGAGGAACCTGACCACTTAACCACCTAAAAACTTTTGTTCCCCAAAGCAGAGATTATGGCTCATTTCAAAACCCAACAGAGGCCATGGAGATTGCCCCAGACAAAAAGCACACAAGTGAGTATGCTCCCCCAACACCTCAATATTCTTCCTGAAGTCCAGGCCTGGATCCCTTGTCAAGCTGAAAACCTTGTCAAGAAAGATGCAATTACCAAAGCGCTCACTCCCAACGCAAGCGGCGTCAGGCAGGCCCTGCTCTCACTCGGGGTCGGCAGGGGGCAGAGGACAGGGTCTCTGTGCTCCCACTCTGCCCACTTCACTGGCACGGCACTCGCTCTAGAGCTGTTACTTATCATTGGAGCGCCTGCCAGCCACAGGCACTGAGCAAGGTGCTGGGGCCACAGTGAGCCCCTGGGGAGCTCAGAGCTGACTGAGGAGAGGGCAGAAGAGCAGGGCAGTGTGATGGGTTTAATATTAAAGGTATCCTCAGAGAGCCAGAGGTGGCGAAGAGGAAACTATGAATTCCGTTGCACGGAGGAGGCCACATCTGAGTTTTACCAATCGGTAAAGGGGGGTAGTTTATACAAGAAACTGCGTCACAGAAATTCAAATTGCCCTTGGCACGTTGGGGGGACAGAGGGCAGAGACACCTGTGCTCCTGGACAGGGTGGCAGGTGACGGGAGGGTTCGGAGATGAGTCTATAAAGTGGGGCCGTGCACAGCTGTGCAGGGCCTTGCAAGAGCTCTGAGGATTTTGACTTGATGCTGCAGACAACAAAGCGCCCGAGAATGACGTGGTCAGATCTGCCTGGCAGTGACAAGAAGGAATGGGGAACAGAGGGATGGGAGGATGGGGTCTGGGAGCCCTTGGGCAGTGACTGGGGGTCAGGAGCAGGCTTTGACCTTGTCAGTGGACACAATACCTCAGCCAGCAGCACCTGAAGTCACCAAAGCCGGCAGTTCCCACAGCAGAGCCCTTGCATCTCCTTCGGGTCTCTCAGAACAGGCACAGTCGCCCTCCTGTTTTTTCAGGTGCACTGTGCTTCCTCCCGCCACCCTTTACCCCGCCTCCCTGTATCTCCCTGGCTGGCTCTAAAACAGCCGTTCATTCCAGAATCACAGAGGAGCCTCAGATGCAGACACTCCCAGGGGATCTGACTTCCTCTAATTCACGCTCATTCAACAGCTGGATCCCACACACATTTCCTGAGACTCTGCTGTGCACAACGTGAGGGAGACACGGAAGAAAGAGGCCAGGCCCTGCCCCAGCAGCTCAGTGATGCCCAGGGAGGTGGGAGCGCGATCAGCTTGGGGGTGCGCACGCAAGGCTGTGGGTGTTTGGGGAACTGAAGAGGAAAGTGTTCACCTCTCCGGGTGGGATGGAAATGGCTCAGACTCAATCTCGATGGTGGACCCTGAGGGTTAAAAACCCCCAGAAGATCTGGTTTTCAGTTCTCCCTTTCCTAGCTGTGTGACCACAAGCAAATCACTCCACCTCTCTGAACCTCTGTCTTCATTTAGAGAGGGACAATACATAGTAGTCCTCCCTTTTCTGCGGGGTCTATGTTCCAAGACCCCTAGTGGGCACCTGAAACCGAAGATAGTACAAAACCCTGTATATACTGTTCTTCCCTACACATACATGCCTATGATAAAGTTTCACTTATACATTAGGCACAGTAAGAGAGTAACAGTAACTAATAATAAAATAGAACAATTATAATACTATACTATGATAAAAGTTAAGTGAATATGGCCTCTCTCTAAATATCTTATTGTGCTGTCCTCACCCTACTTCTTGTGGTGATGTGAGCTGATGCAATGCCCGCATAACGAGATGAGGGGAGGTGAAGGACGTAGGCGCTGTGGCGTAGCGTCAGGCTGCCGCTCATCCTCAGGTGGGACGGCTACTGACTGACGGGCAGGGAGCATGCACAGCGTGGATCTCTGGACAGAGGGAGGAGTCACGTTCCCAGGCGGAATGGAGCGGGACGGCAAGAGATTTCATCAAGCTACTCAGAATGGCATGTGATTTAAAACTGATGAGTTGGATATGTCTGGAATTTTCCATTTAATATTTTTGGACTGTGGTTGACTGTGAATAACTGAAACCACAAACAGTGAAACCGTGAATGGGGGAGGAGGGGCTGCTGTCCGTTCACTCATGAAGTTGGGAGGATGATCCAGTAAAATACGGTAAAGCTCAGTGCCTGGGGATGAGATTATGGTCAGATTGGGAACCAGCCTCTAAAATGGCATCCAAGGACCCTGCCTCTTGGTACTCTTGTTCTGTGTACTGTCCTGAGCATGGGCTGGACTTAGTGACTTGCTCCCAACCAGTGGGATATGGCAGAATAATAGGATGGCACTCTTAAGAAGAGGTGACAAAAAGCTTGGCTTCCATCTTACTCACCCTCCAGTGCCGTCCCTCCTTGCCTGCTCTGATGGAAGCCAGCTGCCAGGCTAGGAGCTGTCCTATGGGGAGGTCTACATGGCAGGACCTGAGTGGGACACTGCACTCTGCCTACAGTGTCGTGAAAGCTCTCGGAAGTGTATCTCCTCCCCATCAATTGTTGAGATGACTGTAACCCTGGCAAACATCTTGAGAGCAGCCTGTGGAAGACCCTGAACCAGAGGACCCAGCTAAGTTGTGCTTTGCTTCCTGATCCACAGAAACTCTGAGGTAATGTGTTTGTTGTTTTCAACCACTAAGTTTCAGGGTAATTTGTCATGCAGCAGTAGCTAACTAATACAATCAGGGTGTTACCGAGATTGTTCAGCCGCCAGCTCAGTACCAGCATTAAGCAGTTAGGGCAGATGCTGACGGTGGCAATGGAGCGGGTCTCTCCAGTCCTTGCTGAGCCCCTTGCTAGAGCACTGGGAGTTCAGGACGGGGGTCTTGGGGGGGCAGGTGAAGTGGTGGGAATTTATCTTATGGAAACACCCACATGTGGGGCACAAAAGTACCTACTTGCAAGAATATTCACTACAGCATTATTTGTTATAGCAAAATATTAGAAATAACTGAAAAGTCTATACCCAGGAGACTGGTTAAATTAAGGAGAGCCATGCCATGGGCTATCTCGCAGCCATGAAAAGTAATGAGAGATGTGCTGATATGGACTGGCAGGCAGGATATACTTTGTTCAGGGGAGCAGTGGCATCCTATACCACCATTTGTGTTAAATATACTGCATTTTGCATGTATAATGCACACCCACGTTTTTGGCCCAAACTTTCAGGAAAAAAAAAATCTTTCATTTTAATTCAATTATTTATGTATTTATATTTAGGTACTTGTTTTTTGTGTTATAAAGGAATTTCAGTGCTTATTTTTGAACATACAGATATCTTTATTGCTCCCTAGCGTTACGTTTTTAACACATAAGCATGAATAAAAGAATTTAAAAAATTTATATAGATATGGAATTAGTGCTATCCTTGTGTCATGTGCATCCTTATTTTTCCCTCAAAAATTTTGGCAGAAAGTGTACATTATACACGGCAAAATACGGTACGTACGTAAACTTATCTGAAGGCATGTAGCTGTAGAAATAGCCTGGCAGCCTTGGTTGCCTCTGAAAGGAGAACGGGGGCGAGGCGGGTTGGGGGTGGGAGAGAAGCCTAATTTTTCTGGAGCCCCCCGTGATGCTCCTTCTGTCACCTGGGGTGGGGAGGCTATTGTGACTGTGCTCTGGGAGGACTCGTACACCCTAATTTGGAGGCTGGAGATTTTCTACACTGGGGACTGCTGAGGGGATGGGCCCTGGCTCCCCTGCCCCTCAACCACCGGAGCAGTGCCTCCTGCTGGAGGTTTCATCGGATAAGATGGTTCCTCTGCTTTAAGGGAGAAAGTTGGACCTCCACAGGCCCCCTTCTTCCCTTGGTTCCCATTCAACTCCCCACTGGCCATTCACTCCCCATCACCACTGCCCCTCCCCCCCCACTAGCCTGGGTCAGCCTGAGCTGAGTCCACCCCAGCCCAGGGCTCTGCTGAGTCCCTGGGGACTCACCTGGCACGTCCGGGGATGTATTGACAGTCATGAAGGCGTCTGACAGGCCGGCTTTGACGGGGTGCTGGGAGGAGCTGATTTCCAGGACGGACATAGGGATCTGCAGCAGGAAGAAGAGGCTCCGTCTAGCCCTCAAACACCCTCGGGCCCGCCTAGACGTCCCCTCGGTGCTCCAGACCCATCTGCCTGCTTGGTGCCACCTCTTGGAGGATGTGAAGACCTCTCCCACCCAAGGGACCCCATTCAAATTTCATGTCTTCCCCGCATCCCCCCCAAGCACGTTTCCATGTTCTGTGCTCAATCTTTGTGAACAGCACCTCCACGCAGGCCAGCGACGTGAGATTCTCCCCAGCCCCTCCCTTTTCTCCACTTCCGCCTCCTCCACCTAAATCATCTCGAAATCCTGTTCACTAACCCGCTAACTGGTTCTCAAATCTGTCCAGTTCTTGCCATCGTCCCCCACTAGACTCCAAGCTGGTAACACCTCTCTCCTAACTCACCTCCCAGCAGTCCCTCTGAGCCACCAGCAATCTGTTCCCCACTCTGAAGCCAGAGTGACCTTTGTCAAAGGCAAAGCTGGTGTCCCCTGCCCCCTCTTGCCCCTCACTCCCTCCTCTCCAGCCATGCTGCCTTCTTTCAGTGCTTTGCACCTGCTGTGATCTATCCTGGCACAGGACCTTTGCATATGCTGTTCTTTCTCCTGGAACATACTTCATTCTCCTCTTTGCTACCTTAACTCCTAAGCTTCCAACAAATTTAACTTTTTTCCTTAGGGAAGCCTCTCCCAACCCCCTACTGGGGTAGAGAGCCCCATGACAGGCTCTGGTGACACAAGACACCTCTACTTAGGAGCACTGTTTACAGTGGCAATTCTACATTTGTCTCTACAATTACTGTCTGCTGTCTTGGTAAGACTTAAACTCTACAAGGGCAGGGCCATCTTATTAACTATTGTATCCCCAGCACCAAACCCGATGCCAGGCACACTGCAAGTCCTCTACAAATATTAGCTGAATGGAAATAAAGGCTCCACAAGCCCCAGCCATCTCCGAAGGTGGGCTCACTCACCTCTTTGTAGCCGAATACAATGCGGCCATCACGGTGCAGGGCTGCCTGGAAGGTGAAGCTGCCCCTGTCCTCCCGGCCTTGGAGGTAGACACGGTCCCACTGAACAACAAAGACTGTCCCTGTGGAGAACAGCAGAGACCTGGATGGACAGGGAGGGATCCAGGGGGCAGGGCGTTGCAGAAAGAGTGGCCAAAGTGGACTGGCCCTAGGTCGGGCCTCTTAGGGACAGTGGAGGCAGTTTGCAAATTTGACTAAAGGCAGGAGCTAGGTAAGCCACCACCAACAGCCTGGCTTCCAAGCCGGAGAGGAACCAGAAGACCCTACTTCAGCCCCCAGATACCATGCTTGAGCATCTCTTACTCCAAGCATGCCCCTTCCTTCTTGCCTATCCTGACACAAGATAAAAAGGAGGAGAAATAGGCCTTGGCTGGTGTGGCTCAGTGGACTGAGTGCCGGCCTGTGAACTGAAAGGCTGCCAGTTCAATTCCCAGTCAGGGCACATGCCTGGGTTGCAGGCCAGGTCGCTGGATGGGGGTCTTGTGAGAGGCAACTGATATCTCTTACACACTGATGTTTCTCTTCCTCTCTTTCTCCCTCCCTTCCCCTCCTTCTAAAAGTAAATAAATAAAATCTTAAAAAAAAAAAAAGAATCAACCAATAAGGCATAAATAGGTGGAACAACAAACTGATGTCTCTCACTCTCTACTACTTCATCTCTCTCTCTCAAATCAAGAAATAAAATTTTTTTTTAAAAAAGGAGGAGACGTGCCTGTTCTCTTGGGATGGGAGGTTGGGTTCAACCTGGGGAGAATAAGAAACAATAAAGGTCCCTGGTATGTATTTCACCTGTGCTAAGAGCCAAGCCCTTTATTCCCTTACCTCACCAGACCCTGCCGGGTGGCAGGCATCTCGTGCCATCTTACAGATAAGGAAACAATACAGAAAGATGGGGTGGCTGCCTTCCTGTGTGACCGCGTCAAGTCCCCTGCCCTCTCTGGCCCTTGCATTCTTCTAAAGGGGCTGGGCCAGGGGAGTCCTGGTCCTGGGTGACTTTAACTCTGAGATCTGGTCTCACCGTTGTCAAAGTAAGCAACTGTGGAATTTTCGGAGTAGCCAGGGTTGAAATTGGCCATCAGAGGGGCCACGTACTGAGTAGCTGTGAGCATCCTATGAGTCACGTCGCCAGTAAAGATGAAGCCTGGGGTGGGGAAAAGGGCAGAGGAATCACCAGAGGAAGCCCAGAGGGGTTGTTTCCTTATGTTCCCAAGCCCCAAGGGCAGGAAGGAGCCATGCAGATGTGGCTGGAAGCAAGCCTTGACCTCTGTCTTCTGTACCCAACTGGGAGGCCCAGGATCAGGAGCGTACGGAGCAAAAGCGACCCAGACTGGAAAAGGTTCTCCCTGCTCCTCCAGGTGGGCACAAATTCCCACCTCCCCTTCTCCCCGGGAACGTACACAGGAATCAAAGATGGGCTCCTGGTACCCACGGGGAGCCTGGACCCAGGAACCAAGCTCTTATTGCAGCTTCCCTTTCCCTCTCAGTCACAGGCTCAGATATACAGGGACCACAGGGCTGCCCACACTGGCCTGAGCTGGTCCAGAGGGAGACACATGCGCGTACACACACACAGGAGCAAATCAGCTGATGTGAGGGAGGCATCTGGACACAACCACTGACTTCCCTCCTGATAGTGGGCTCCCAAGACAGTCAAACATGGACCCCTCCCCGGTCCATCTCTATATCCCTATCTCCAGGGAACCTCCCCCGGTAGGTCCCCCAAGTTCTGGCTGAGAGCTCCAAATCCTCCCCCATCTCTACTGACCAGGACTTACCTCCAGTTGCTATGGTGATCTGCCGCAGAGGATGCCCGTAGAAAGGGAAATCAAAGGACAAGACCACTCTCTGGAGGGGATGGGAGAGAGTCGGCATGGGCCACGCTGCAGGCCAGGGGGCTGGACATCTACCCTGCTCCGTGCTCGTCTGGGTAGGGTGACGGGCAGGAATGGGCAGGGTAGGCTGACAGGACCTCAGGCGGGCATCCCAACTCTGGCCAAGCCACCCAGGATCCCCTGGAAGGCACCTCCCAGATCACACACCCTAGGCCATGAGCCGTGCCCAGGAACCAGGTGGGCAGAGGGGCTCCCAGCCTGCCAGCCCAGGGCAGCGCTGCCGGGAACTGGGGCACTCACCGAAGCCTGCCGGTGAGTGTTGGAGAGGATTCTGTGGACCTTCACTTGGCTCCGGTTGGCCTCAGCCACATCCACCCACAGCTCCCGGCTGCGGGGTTCGCTGGGGCCGTACAGACGGGACACATAGTAACTGTGGTTGTCCTCCTGCCGCGATCCAAGACAGAGCCCACAGGAGGCATGAGGTGTCGTCAGGCGTGCCAGGAAGCCCCCTCGGCACCTCCCCAACCCGGACTTCTGGATACAAAAAATCGTGGCCCTCCCAGGGAGTTGGACCTATGGCCCAGATGGCTGATTTAGTCTTGGTAGCCCCTGGGCTCCCCTTGGCCCCAAACAGCTCGGTACCCGGCCCCTAGCCATGTATATGCGGCTCTGGGCCCAGCCAAATGCAGATCTGCTATGTCCGTGCTCAGCCAGGCCATTCCCGGAGGGGCCAGGAGGCTTCTCCTGCAGCCCTTGGGTCCCCATGAAGCACACACACCAAGGCAGAGCTTGAGGCACCAAAGAGAAATAGGGCAGGCCCAAAAAGGGCTTTTGTCTTCAGGGAGCTCCCAGACTGAGGGGGAGAGCTCCCCTGCTCCAGGGAGTACTCTTTTTAAGGAAGAAGGGAAAAACTGGACCTTAGAAGCTGCCAGTCTAAAGATGGAAGCAAACCCTTGATCTTGGGGAGTTGCTGGTCTGATGGAGGAGGTGGGACTTATGCAAACAGAATGCACAGACACAGACCCTCAAGCAGAGAGATGATACAGAGCCCATACTACCTTCCCTAGAGGGTTTAGAAAGGGGAGAGAAGCAGCAAAGATTTCCTTAAGATGTATTTCTAACCTCTGCTATGTGTCCAATGGGGATAAAATAAAGAACAAGCCAGAACACAGCAGGCGGGCGTTAATTCTGTTAAGCCTTTCTTGCACAGAAGCATTTAGCACCAGAGTTGAAAAGAGGCCGGGAAATGGTTGGCAGAAAGGGTGGACGAGCCAGGACAGGAAGCGTTGTCACAGCACTTCAGCCGATGGCAGGGGTTGCGGGGAGGGGCAGTCGGGATGGAAGCAGCCACAGGAGAAATGGAGGCCCAGCGGGCAGGTTCCCTTGGCTGCAGCCGTGGAGACGGGGCCGCTGACCCGTGAGAATCCCTGGACGTCGTGGGCCATCAATCAGGCTGTCCAGAGGCAGTGGCTTCAGACACAGCAGAGCAGACCGTGCTCTCTGCCAGCCTGCCAGCTGCCCGGCCAGCCCTCGCCCTGGGCCCAGCACGGGCAGGGGCAGGACGCCTGCTCTGCCCACCCTCCAGGAGGAAGACTGCTCTTCTGACAAGGGGCGCACTCCAGGAATCCCGCGTCGGGGCAGAGCTGGGGGACAATGAGCAGAAGAAACGTGTAGACCGGGGGTAGATTTTGACTGCCGCTGCTGGTTTTATGCCCATCAGATAAAACTAAAACACATTTGAGGCCATGTCAGTCTGGTCACGAGCCATCTGGGGCACCCATTGTCCTTGTGACAAAATCCAACCCTCGGCCTGGCGCCCGAAGTCCCATCAGCAGCCAGTTCCACCTTCTCTCCAGCTTCACCTCTTTCCTACTCTCCTTCCCCTGTGCGTCCTCGTGCGCCCCTGCCACCAGACCAGGCACCTCTGGCGGCCTCACACTGCCACTGGTCACTTACGCCTTTGACATGCCGAGCCTCCTGCCGGGAATGACCTTCCTTGCCTTCTCCCCATGGCTGATACCTACTCCTTTAATGCTCAGCTTAAACCTCCTTTCTTGCTGACCTTCTCCTCCTACTTGCCCAGCGAGGTCCTCCATCCCTTGCAAATGGCCCCCACCATCCATGGGAGCCCTCAAGACGTGTGTGTACCATTTGTGAGAGTCATACGAGCTCACCTTTGCTTGATTTCTGGTTTTCCTCATGAAATCACCTGAAGGGACCAACTTGATGCCACAAACCCTGGGGTGAGGGCAAGTGCCCACGTCAAGGATGTTGCCTCTCACTGGTGCCAGAGTCACCCACCCTGGGGTCCCAGGCGGTGCCCAGGGAGGAGGCAGTGCTCCCCAGCTCTGCCTGCGGGCACCGTGTGCTTGTGGCCAGAGCTCTCAGCCTTTCACGGGGAAGCAGCCCCTTCCGTTTCCACCTCCCATCTGACTCCCCAGGGGACCAGATGTCGCATCCTTCCCTCCTGGTCTCCAGCCCTTCTATCTCCACCCATCTCTGCTGGGGATCTTCCCCTTGACCAAAAAACAAACACACACAAACCTCAAAACACACTTCCTCTCGAAAAATCGTCTGCCAAGAAACAGAGGTCCGGGCACACCAATTCAAGCAAAGAGATACGTACAAAGAAGATATGTCCCCAGCCTGCTTCCAGGGATTCACATGGTGAGCAGTTTTTATTCCACCGCAAAGCAAAAAATAGGGGGCCCTGAACAACACTGTATATCTGATGGTCCGCAGGACCCTAACTCTGACCCCAGCTCAGTTGCGACCACCTTCCAGAGCCACTGCTACAGCTCACCTCTTCTCTGGCCTGGTTCAAATATAAAAGTTGTTTACTGCCCCAGTTGGTGTGGTTCAGTGGATCCAGCACTGGCCTGCTGACCGAAAGGTCGCCCTTTCAATTCCCGCTCAGGGGGCACATGCCTGGGTTGCAGGCCAGGTCCTCAGCTGGGGGCGTGTGAGAGGCAACCGAACAATGTTTCTCTCTTACATCAATGTCTTCTCTCCTTCTCTTTCTCCCTCCTTTTCCCTCTCTCTAAAAATAAAAATAAATAAAATCTTTAAAAGTGGTTTATGAACTTACAAGGCTAGAAAAAAAGTGGTTTATTAAAGGGCATAGGTTAGCCTAAAATTTTGTCCAAAGAAAGGAAAACAAGTTAGATGCTACTCAGGTTGTTATTTAAATTCAGCTGCTCTCCCTTCCCCCGCCACCCACCCACCCACCCAAACTCTGATCCCCTGACAAGTGGGGACAGGCGAGGTCACCTCTGCACCCAGGGCTTGAGGGCCTTACATCCTCCGAGCTGGAGAAGCATCTGCCAAAGTGAATGAGGTGGGAACCCAGACCCTACTTTGTGCCCTTTTATAAGAGAAGGAGGATCGGTGCCTGGCATTGGGTTAGAACTCTGGAAATAAACCTGGGCTGTCTTATTATGACCTGCGGGTGAGGGGAAAATGAGTGGCCCAACAGAGCAAAGCAGCATCTAGGTAGCACTCCTTTTGTGTGCTTTGTGGGATGAATTGTGTCTTGCAAAAAAAATGCTTTCCAGCCCTAACCCCGGGTACCTATGAATATGACCTCATTTGAAAATCGCGTCTTGGCGGGCACTAATTCCAATGATGGATGTCCTTATGAAAGGAAGAAGAGACACATTTGAATACAGAGGCACACAGGCAACACGGGGAAGAAGGCCATGTGACAACAGAGGCAGAGACTGGAGGGGTGCAGCTTACAAGCCAAGGAACACCAAGGACTGCCAGGAGCCTCCAGGAGCTGGAAGGGGAGAGCAAGGACTGTCCCCTAGCACCTTCTGAGGGATCATGGCCTCGCTGATGACTCGATTCAGACTTCCGGCCTCCAGAACTGGAGGAGAGTACATTGCAGTTGCTGTAAGCCACTCAGATGGTGGCGATTTGTGGTGGAGCCCTAGGAAATGAATACACTTGCCACAGGTGTGTTGCTGTGGCTCAACTCAGGTAACCCTGAGCTGTCTCCCCCTTCCCTGTCACTGTCCTGCTTAGAACATTCTATGGCTTCCCAGCTGCTCTCAGAATGAAAGCCACGCTCCTTACCACAACTTACGAGGCTCCATGGGGGCAGACTCTGGACACTGCCTATCCAACACCCACTCACCCCTCCATGTTATTATCAGAACATTGACTTTGCAGCAAGCAGTAATGTAGCCAGCTAAAAAACCTCATTCCCCAGATGTCTTAAGGGTTACATGTGACATAGGCTGGCTAATGAGACAAACTGAAGGTTCTAGTGGAGACTTTTGAAAGAGGTTAAATTTAATTGCTCGCCCCTCTTGCCTTTGCCCTTCTTATTCCTGCCTGGAGTGTGGATATGATGCATGGCGCTCCAACAGCCGTCTTGTGAGTATAAGGACCAGAGCCACAACCTAGGAGGGCGGAGTGAGGAGCTGGATGGAACTTGGGTCCCTGACAAGTTGGAGGGATGCTCGTGGCGCCCTCTGTTACACACAAACACAAAGCCTTCCTGATGTGTGGTGGTCTGGCTCCGCACACACCCTTCCTCCCCGCCTCCACCCTTCCCCCCGCCCCACCGCCCCTGCTCTTTGCACTCCACCCAGGCTGGGCTCTTCTCAGTTCCTGAAATCACCAAGTGCTTGTCTGCCTCAGGACCCTGGTACTGCCTGTGCCTCGCAACCTCTTTCTTATTCCATTCAGAAGCCAACTCCTTCTTGTCCTTCAGGCCTCAGCTCTGCCATCATTTCCTTGGCAGCAGCCTGGTAACCACACCGCGGGCTGCGCCCCCTCATTGAGTTGCACGCTTGTGATGACTTATTTGCCTTTTACTCTTGTTATCTCCGCACCTGCCTTCCCTGTACGTTCCCCTTCCCTGTATGTTCCCCACGGGAAAGGTCAGCCTTTATCTCTGGTGTTTAACCACAAAGTATGTGCTCAGTTGGGGGATTTGTTAATGAATGAATGACCATTCAGAGTTTCAAAGCATGGCTTGTCCAAGGCTTGCCCACCCTTGGCCTGATCGCCACTGCTATGCATTCTGGTGACTGGAAAGGCATAGTGTTAGCACACGACGCAGGACGGCGGCTCACAGGGACAGGGGACGCTGTACTGCAGGAGTCAGTTGCACACGGCTCCCCACTAGGAACCTGAACAGGCATGTGTTTAAAATGGCCGTTTGCAGGCTCAGAGAAGGGTCCTGTTTCCAGCACCTGCTTCTGGGACTCGCCTGGTGATAGCGTTCGCTAAACCTCCACGCGTTGGAAATGAGGGCCCTGGATGGAATCCACGCTCCGCAGTGGTGAAGCCCAAACATGCTGACCTGTCTCTTGCTGCCTCACTAAGAGGCAAAGGGTGGCGTGACCGGGGACGCGTCTCACCAACCCATCGCTCCGACTCCTCTATTTCCCATGGAAAGAAACAGTCAACTGCCCCAGCAGGTGCTGCCTCAC